TCCTTCATGTTTACCATGATTATGATGGTCATGCAACAACACATTTACTTGCTTTGCATGAATTAAAGAGTAAAACTTTAGAAGACTGTTATAGAATGTCTACTTTATGGTTTCTTACTCCACCTGGTACATAAAACCATGGCAAAGAATGGTAACCAGCAGGATTTGCATGATGAGAAACAGCAGGTGATCATATGTCTGGAAGAAATAATATTTTGTTTTGGTATAGATTGAATCTTTCATACTAAAAGTATAACAAAAAAACTTTAAGTTAAAATACTAGTAGTTAAGTGAATATGTAGGCAGGTCAAGTGACCACTATTCTGTTAGTAATACCAGAATATACAACAATGGACATTAGACTCTGTTTGAGTGAGTGAGAGAGAGTGTGTCAAGATACCAGAGTCATTGTTGACTTCTTGAAATGTCACAGAATTCTATGATTTCTATGAGACACAAGAACATAAAATCACATCTGAATATACAGCACCTTGGACAGCACTGTGGCAGTCTGAAACCAAGGTCTTCCATGGATATTTTCTACAGAGGAGCTGGAGGTGTAATTTCCAGTTCAGGCAGCCATGCCCACATTAGTTCTGATCAAAGTAGAGTGATAAAAACAGCAGTGTATCTTTGCTGCATAGGCAACAACATGGACTAGCCCCACCAAATACACACCTATAATTTCCAATAGAATTAGATTTGGGAGTAGCTAGCCCTTCCTTGCTGTTTGTGCAACTGCAACTACACTGCTATTTTTAGCTTCTTAGCTTTTTTTTTTTTAGCTGCCTGAGCTGGAAATTACATCTCCAGTTCCTGTGTAGAAATAATATGTATCAGTGGTGAAATGCCTATAAATAAGCCTAGGCAATCACATTTCTAGAAAGTAAAGTCCTCCATGGAAACAATATCAAGCTTCCTTTAGACTGCAGTAACTTAAAGATCTGGGAACCAATGGGAGGTCAGCAAAGCATCCCAAACTGCCCTTCTGTGTTTTAGTCTCCAGTTCACCATTCTTCTACTTTAGAGAGATTCAACCTGTACTTCAATGTATTACTAGTCTCGCACTCTCTGGTCCAGCAACATCCATGGTCTGGAATGATTTTTGTTATCTGGATATCCATTTATCATGAGTGTGGCCAAGTTTCCCATGGTTCCATAAAGTTTGTGGACAGCCACCAGTTCTGGCTCTCAGTGTTCTGTGCTGTAATTTAGCTCTAATTTTCCCCTAAATGTCTTCTCAGGCTACGTGCACACTGCAGCCTTTTGCCAGCAGAGAGTATGCTAAATAAGCACCCATTAGCACTTGTTATGCTGTCATTTGCATATTTTCTGTTGATGCTTTTTGCACGAGAGAGTTTTGAGCAAAAAAAAAGGAGCGTAGAGATGTCCGTTTTGCACAAAAAGCCCTTTTTGCACAAGATCCTTATGATTCATAAAAGGAGGTATAAGGATCTTGTGCAAAAGGGTTTTTTTGTGCAAAATGGACCCCTCTACACTCCTTGTTTTTGCGCAAAAAACATAGAGAATTTTCAAATGACAGCATGACAAATGCTAATGAGCACTTCATTAGCATACTCTCTGCCGGCAAAAGGCTGCAGTGTAGACATAGCCTCAGAGTCCAGCTAACAGTGGAAGTGTTGGCAATGCTGCTGGACAATACTGATCTCCCATGGTTCGGCAAATTCTCTGGTTTAGCACCTATCAGGTTCTCGGGGTGCTGAACTAGAAAAGTTCAATCTGTAGCACAGTGGTGAACAAAGTTCCAAAATGGAACTGCTCTGGTTAATTTCCCACAAAGCTTCTGTCCCATTTAGGAACCATAGAATTGCTGTCTGCTTTTGCTCAGAATTTGGACTAAAAAAATTATGGCAGCTTGAATCCTGTCATTTCTTCCACTTTTACATAAGTATAGCTCCAAGGTGAGGTTTTCAAAAAAATTGCACACCCTTAGCTTAACTCCACATGCATTAAAATCAGTGTTAAAACTCCTGTTGACTTTAATGGGAACAGAGTTGGGTGAATACTGTGTGAGTTTTAGATCATCATAATATATCTCAGTGCAATGACTACTAATTAGCACCAGTATCACTAGTAAGAGAATAAGATACAAATCTTGATCTCACCACTGCAGTTGAAATGAGAATGCTGTATTGTAGCAGTTGTTCCTTCAGATCTTTTCCAACCCAAACTTGTTTTGAAATAATTGGAAGTTTGGGCTGATTAAAGTTGTGGAGTTCAGGTCAGAAAAAAAAGCAGTACTGAGTAGAGAACAAAAAAGAGCATAGAGAGAAGAGAGAAAGAGAGAGAGAGAGAGAGAGAGAGATTACCTAGTTAATTGTAAGCTTCCCTATTTATCCTTTAAATTCACATCAATATTTGCAATGGAAATATGATTCACATACATTCCTACCTCCCTGCTGTAATTAGAATATCTATTTTAGGGTCATCATTTGAAACATATTTAACCTCATTTTTGTAGGCCTATATTTGGAATTCCCTCAAATTAACTATCTGCTACCAAAAAGAATAAAAATATTTAAAAGGGTTTTCTTCCTCTCTTCTGTTTTAAAATATGTCAGGCTCTTTTTAAAATGCTTGAAAATTGTAAGATGCTAATAAAAAGGAATTTAAACTTTAAAAGGCCCCAGAAAAGTTTAAGTTGCCATTGATAATCCTGTAGACACTTATGTGCTTGAATAAATATAATGAATAAGAGGGCTTACATGCATAAAGGTTTGTGGTTTCAGGGTAAGTCTCCATGTGTTTTGGAGTTTGTTTTTGTAAAGTAGCTTACTTTTTATATTTAAAAAAAAAAAGCCATGCATAGAGCTGAGTATAGATCAGTGATTCCCAACCTTTTTATACGGGCAAAACCCGTTCGCAAACTTGCAGCAGACCGGCAACATTTTCATATTTGCATGTTCATTATGCAAATAATAGGTATACAAATATGCAAACAAAACATTTCCTGTTTACCAAAATATGTACCCCGACTCCCTTATAAACTCCAACCCTGACTCCTGCAGCCTCCCATATTATTTTATTCAGCCCCAGCGGCCAGAGTAGCTGCCTACCAGATGGAGCAGATCCCAGCCATGCATCAGGTTCTGTCCTCCTCCACCCCGCAGCAGGTCCCAGTCCCCTCCAGCAGGCCTCAGCCTCCCCTGCCATGCTGCCACTGCAGGTCCCAGCCTCCCTGTCAAGTGGCAGGCTCCAGCCCCCTCTTCTGTCCCAAGTAGGAGCAAAACCCAGCCACCCACCATGTGGCTGTGGCACAGGCCCCACCCCAGCTGCCAGAACAGGCCCTGGCTACTCACCACATGGCTGGGGCTTCCTCCCCACCCCCGGCACAGCAGCTATTCTCCACACGGCCCTGCCAACCAGCCATGTAGCAGCTGTCAGAACTGGAACTGGAGCTACAATAAGGCTGCTCCAGAAGGGACAGAGTCACTGTAGCCCTGGCTTTCCAGTAGGGACAGCGTCACTGTAGCCCTGGCTTTGGCTTCGGCTTCGGCTCCAGCTCCAGCCCACAGCCCCACTCACCCAGCTGCTGTATGATGAAGTGGGCAAAAGGGAATTTCCTTATGGGGAACCCCAGCAGAAGGGTCTAATCAAAAGCAGGGGACATGGCCGGGCAATGTGCCATGGCCCATTAGTCAGAGGTTCGCGGCTCACCACTGGTCCATGGACCGGTGGTTGAGAGCCACTGGTATACTGGTATAAATCAATGGCATTCCATTGTAGTAAATGAAGCTATTCAGATTTACAATAGCTAAGCACTGGCCAAGAGTTTTTGCATATTTTTATGCCATTTTCACCAGAAGCTGAGTTTTCTTTAGTGATCTCATATGCTGGGAGACCGAATTAATGGGAAAAAAGATATGTAGGTACAAATTTGTGTATCCTGAAAGCGTACTTATGTGATCCAGTCGGTAGAACTTTAATTTAGTTGTGTTCATAGGTTCCTGAACTTCTCAAAAATACATTTGTAAGACTTTGGCATTTTAAACTTTCTTGAGTGACAGTTACTATTATTGAATTTGTGAATGGTTCATTAGAAAACACATTTCTCCCCTTCAGTATTTTTTTAATGCTTTTTTTAGTTGTTCTAGCTTTGGTTTTCTAATATATTCTCTGCTGTTCCCACTATGGATCATATTCCTAAATTCTTGGCACTGTGTAGGTTGAGAACTATTTTTTATACATAGTTGGAGTGATTACTTACAGCCAAGGGCTTTTTGAAGGATTCTAATTTACTCAGGAGATCACATTTTGGTCTGAGCACTATCAATGAGATCAAGAACCTCTGCTTGTAGTTGTGACTAGGCATATATTTGAACTGAAGACACAAACTGTGTTAGTTGGATAATTAAATTGTCCAAAAAAATCTGCATTTTTCAAAATAACCTGGAGGATATAAAAACAATTCTTTACCATCACTGAGTTTGGTTTGTTGTTGTTTTTCTCTTGCTTTCTGTACAAAGATTAGTGTATATAGAACTACTGGAAGCAAAGATATATTTATTATTCCATCATATGCTTTTGATTACTGATATCTGGGCATTGTTAATGGAAAAAAAACCCCAAGCCCAAGTAACTGCAGTAAATGGTTTTAACATTATTTAAACTCTGTGCTTTTTGTAGCCAAAGTTGTATTCGTAATATACTGTTAGTTTGAATGAGAATGAATTTAATGTGTATAAGTTTGAAAGACATGATGACAACAGGTCTTTTATCAGGTAAAGAAAAATGGCCAGATCATAAATACTTTGTGCACCCAAAACTTCCGTTGCAGTTAGAATGGGGGGGAGGGAATTATTCATTATTAACACAGTTATTTCAGCAGTGAAAGTGCTTTGCTCCATTCTTTCTTTAAAATATATTTGTTGTTTTTTTTTCTTATGCACAACTTCTCTGCACATTCATTACTCATAGACTGAAGCTACCCACCTGTGAACTTTGAAGGCAGTAAAATGTTGTTTCCAGAGGCTCCAGGAGTAAAGTGCACCCTTTTACTCAGGCCACCAGATCTTCTGAGTCCAGCAGTGGAGCAGGTAAGTGATTCAGCTTCTCCAGACTATTTCATTTGAAAATATGTATTGTGTCAGGCTGCTGGCTAAGCTGGCGCTGTGCCACTACAGCCTGGCTGAAAAGGTCAATTACAGCTAGACGAGCAAGCCCTGGCCTGAAAGGCTAATGGAAGCAGCTGTGGGCCTCATTAGCCAGAGGGCTTTATAAGGCAGCCAGAGGGGACGTGGAGTGGTAAAAGTAGAGAGCGAGTCTGGGTGTGCCTGCCTGTGCCAGAAGGTGATGGTGGCTGAGTTAGTTGCTGGGGAAAAACAAGCTCTGTAAATAGAAGGTGGTGGGAAGTTGACATAAGCAATAAAAAAGACACAGGTGATTGCACAAGAGAGGGCCTCCTGGTGATTTCTGGCTGAAGAAGGGGTGCCTGGGCAAGGACCTTGCCATAGTATTTTATTCTATTTTGTGTAGTTTTAGGCTACATCTAGACTGGCATGATTTTCCGCAAATGCTTTTAACGGAAAAGTTTTCCATTAAAAGCATTTGTGGAAAAGAGCATCTAGATTGGCACAGATGCTTTTCCACAAAAAAGCCCCGATCGCCATTTTCGCCATCAGGGCTTTTTTGTGCAAAACAAATCTGAGCTGTCTACACTGGCCCTTTTGCGCAAAAGGACTTTTACCCAAACGGGAGCAGCATAGTATTTCCGCAAGAAGCACTGATTTCAGACAGTAGGAAGTCAGTGTTCTTGCGGAAATTCAAGCGGCCAGTGTAGACAGCTGGCAAGTTTTTCCGCAAAAGCAGCTGCTTTTGTGGAAAAACTTGCCAGTCTAGACACAGCCTACATATATAGCCTTGCCCCCTCCTCCTCTGGAGTGGATAATTAGCAGCATGGTTTTTTCAGCCACCTGAATCTACCACTGTAGTGCCTCTTTCCACACTTCTTTGTCTCCAATCAGGCATGACAAAGCTGTCCAGAAAACATCAGCCTTAAATCTCAGTGGTGTTCCCTCTGTCAGGCAGCACTTACAGGGTGAATTATGCCCTGCCTGTTGGCAGGGGGCTGAGAGAACAATGGATTTCAGCTTGGTGGTTACTGGCAAGCAATGGGTTTCAGCTTGGTGGTTACACCCATGAATAGCCATTTTTCAACCTAACTGGATCTCTTATGCATGCAAACTTGTCAATGAAGAGTTATTGGGAAGAATGTTAGAGAATTTACTTACTGACATTACTGAGGGGCCTTAATCCTGACTATCAAAGCCAGCATCATTATCCATTAGTTGCTTCCAGCACCTTGGGTATCCAATTTGGGAGAATCTGCAGCACAGGATTCCAAAAGAAACCTAGATAATGTTTCCTTCCAAACCAACGTAATCCTCAACATGAGACAGACAAAGAACATTTACACATTTCCATTGCGAGGCTCTTCCTTCTAATCTGTCCTTTGCATACAGAATCTTAAGTGGTTGGCAGTAGTCACAGGTTACACATAACACACATATACTCATGCACAAACAATGTCACAATTGGTACCTTATCCAAACAAACTGAGCCATTCTTTTGGTGGATGGTGCTTCTGAATTGGTTCCCACAAAGCTCTAGTTTTTAAAGCTTTGCCTTTATACGGAGGAACTTCCATTCCTTCCTATCATTCTACTATAATCATTAAAGTCTACTTAGCCTTTCCCTCCCTGCTTGATACTTCCTATGAGCAGTGACTGAAGAGACAAGCTGTGCAACATAGTGAAAAACTTCTGGCCTGATCATTTTTTCTCAGCAGCTTTTCTTCAAATTCAGCCCACACTCATAGTCTTGTAAATAATAAGAATATAAATTAAACATTTTCTCTAATGGGAGACTAAGACATATATTGTCTTAAGGCTAAAAATTGGTTCCTGAGGTGTTTCTACAGCTGGAAGAACTCTTCTGGTGGTCTGAGCTGAAAAGGAGAGCTCAGTCCTGAAACCTCCAGCAACAACATTGGCTCACCTCTGAATTCCATGATTAATGAATTTGGAGAGCAGAAACAGAAAGTAAACTATCATGATTTTATGAATGCATTCACTAGCCTGTATTATAATCGATAGGTTTACTTCACATTCTCATATATTTTTACATCAGTGCTTATTGGATAAATACTGCTCGTCTCAGTAGTTCAAAGCACAACTTAATGGTGAAGGACGCTATAGGGATCCTTACGTCCAACTGTCAGATGGTTTAAAATGGAAACCTTAGTGCCCATAGGTCTCTCCTACCATTCCCCCATTCTTCCCCTCTCTTTACCTCTAAACTCAACAGAGGTGGCTGCACTGACCTGAATTTTTGGTCCATGTGATCAAGTTGGTTAAGTAAAGAGAATTTGACCCGGTTCTTTATTCATAAAAACAGAAAAATTGAATAATTATCCTTGTTTTTAATTATTAGTGGAGAATGATTTCCATCCTATTATGATTTTTAAAAAACCCTCTATCTGTAACCAAACAAATAAGCAAGTCCATTTAGCTGTCTGTCAAACAAAAATGCTTTGATTAGAATAACTGCAGTGTAAAGAATAAGGACATCTCAGAGACAAAGAGGTGACAGATAAGCATATTCAGAGAGGTGTTCTTATAAGCCATAAAAAGGATAACTTATTACACAAAATGAATTATAAGGAATATAAAGACTTGCTGATTTTCTCCTTCCCAGGGAGATGCTGAGCTGTACTTGTTGATATATGATATATGGTTCTCTGTGTGAAACGAGGTTTGTTATCTCATTCCAGTTTTTGTGGAGTACAACATCATATAAACAACCACCACAACTAGCATTTATTGCCATCCTTGTAAAGCAAACTCATTGGAGAAGAAACTCAGACTTGAATGAGTATGAATAGGGAAGATAAATGTACATAGGTACTCCTGGAAATGCTCTCTTGTGGTCAGAATAGAAGCATATTGTTGGAGCAGTAGAACAAAAGTTAAAGGGAGGACTTCTGTGTCCAGAGCTATAATTGAGCACCCGTCACAAGCAGCTAATTCAGAGCCAGAATTCTAGCTTATTTTTAAATAGCTTTGTTGATCTAAAAAACTATTCCTTTTTCATTGACACTGTTCATTTTACTAAGTGCTTTCTGGATACTAAGCAGAACAAATCAATGGTTTATCTCTAGTCAGAAGAGAGTACTGGGGAGAAGATGAGTGATTTGATTAGGTGCAAATTACTTCTCATAATGGAATGCTTAGAAGATAGAACCAGGTTTCAGGTTGCACTCTGAGTGGAATAAAGTTAGGGTTAAAGGTGACCAGCAAAGGTTTTGGTGAAAATTAAAATATTGTTTTGTAAGATCCCAGAAGAGGAAAGAAGACTATTATAGATGCTGTATTAAAAGTTAATGAGTGCTATCTTTTAACAAAAATGGAGGCAGTCATTAGCTCCTTCAGATGCAGAGAAATGTGATCTGAAATGAGACTGAGTGACAGCACTTTTTTTCTTCTGGAGGTCTTCCGTCTACTGTATTTGGAAGAGTTCTATGCTAGTCGATTACTCTCTCCCTCCATAAAAATAAAAGTTTAAAACATATTTCCAGTCAGTCTGCCTTTATTCCCAACCTGCTTGTTGACTATTGGTATCTTTAATAGTTTTTCTAATGCAAGGGATGAGAGCCACCTGTATGGGAATTTTTTATTCACTAGTACAAAAATTTCTGTATGGTTTTAGCCTTTGAATAGCTAATGAGGATTTCAGTGATGTCTTTAAGACTACAAATTACAGCCTTATTACAAGGGCAATTTTGATTTACGGTAGTTTGGCTTTCAGTATGCCTTTGATTGTTACAGACAGCCAGAACATGGAAATCTCTTTCAATGAGAATGTTAGCATTTATGAGGTGGAAAAAAATCACCATCCTGAATCAGGTGAAAACAGCCAAATTTATTTAGCAATTGAATGAGTGAAGAACAAGAGATTTCCAGAGAATTTTCAGTTTGGGAAATCAGAAATGTAATTTTTGGCATACCAGCTGCCTGCCTGGAAGGTGTAACAGAGAGAAAGTAAATCTGACAACAGCCTTCTGTTAAAAGTAGTGAGGAAACCACCCTTTTGGTTATCTGGACAAAGAAATCCTGTCAGGCTGATTGACTGCCTTATAACCTTTTGTCTATATTTAGGGCACACCCTTTGGATATGAGAGACTCAAGTTCAACTGTTTCCCTCTCTGATGTGGAGAAATGATATGAAGTTTGATCTTCCATCCCTACAGTTTCTCTCTCTCTCTTTCAATCTGTTGCTCAATGTTTATTTACCTATTTATAAACAGTGGAACAGCTTTGCTGAATCTGAGCCTCTGAGCTGCTTGGGAGTGTCAGGACTTTAGCTGCTGAACGTATGTAAAGTTGCCTGAGTTACATGCCTCAGAGATGATAACAATGGAAACCTAAGCATTCCTAGGGTTGGCTGACAGAAGAGCAGGGTTTTTGTGAATACCAGTGGTGTTTAAATGCTGGACTTAGAGCCTAAAATGGCACTAAGCTTCTAAAAATACTCAGCTTGAAAATTGCTTGAAAAGTCCTTTCATTAAAACTTCATTCTTTACTTTGTCTAGGTAGCAAGTTACAGTATCCACAGTCACTACAAAAATCAGAGTTCTCTCTCTCTCTCTCTCTTTCTCTCATATTCCCCAACAAGTAAACAAACACAAAAACTCTTCAAAACATTTCTGAAATACACTAACCATTCTATTATTTTCCCATCCTGTCATATTCAAAGGCAAAACAACTGCTGTTAGGAAGACTGGGATTTGTTTCTGAGACTTTATCTTGAAGGGCTGTGCCATGTGATTATAGGGGAAATTATGGGAAAGGCCCCTTCAGAGTTTTTCTTGAGGTATTTCCCAGTACACCTCCCCCCCTCCAAAAAAAAAAGATGTAGCAATGGTTGTCAAAAATGTATCTAATGTAACAAGAGAATTAAAGAAAATTGCTACGTGGACCAAAAAGTGCCAAAATATCACAAGGAAGGTGATTCTCACTGTTCTTCATTCCCACATGGG